TGAAAGGGTTACCGAACGGATTACATCATTAATCAAAAGCGAATCCTTAAATGAAATGCCCTTACGTGGACCACATATTGCACGTCTCACAATGATTAAAAAATTGCTAGAAAATAAAATTATTCCAAGTTCTCAACTAGGTATGTTTGTTTTAGGCATGTTATTACTAGAAAAGGGAATGGAATTCTTCTTCAGAACTGCTTGTGATAAATCAAAAGCTTACTGCAAAACATTTGAGAATTATCCTTATTTGCATTCCTTGTTATGTCTCTAACATAATTTTCACAAACGGCACATTTTTCATTATAGAAGCTTTTAGGCGATCCTCACGAGTGTATATTTGAATACATCAGTTTATTTCACAGCAAACCATGCTGTTACATTGATTTGAAGCCTTTTTTATTCTTGATAAGAGAAGATCAGGTTACCCCATTCTTGCAAAGAGTCTCGGATTTTGTCGATCAGCTAAGAGCTAAATATAGTGATAAAAAAGAAAAGGTTGTCATTTTTCACTAATGTTTGATTGATTGGAAGAAAAACAAATGAAAGCTACGAAAGTAGAGCAAAAGCTAATGGTAAGTTGAAATTTATTCGTAAATGACTTTTGGACAAAAAGTTCTATAGGTCATGGATGTACGTTGGGCGGATATTTTTTATCAACGCTTGCGACGTGGACTCGGTCTGCATAGCAAGTTTTCGGCTATTGAAAAAAGGCAAGCCGTTGGTTACATGATAGAAATGATTGATAATTGTTCTGACTCAGAGCTTGCTGCAGCTGCCTATGCATATATAGCTGCTAGTATTTTATGGGATTTGTATGCTGAAAGCGGTGAGTTTATCTTCACTATTGAGAAATGAGACGAACTTATTATTGCCATCAACTGAGCTTGAAATATGTGATTATAGTTTGAATGTCAATCGGCTAAGACAAGTCACATATATTTCATTTTCATTGCAAAGCTTTATGTAATGAAATAAAGTAATCGTGCCGGTTTTTGCAGTTCAAATAAAATACTTGTACTGCTGTTTGTGTAACAGAAAAAAACAAAAAAATAACATTCCAGCGTAAAAAATTGGTTTTACCTGCATCTTAATTTTATTTCCTATATATACTTCATTCCATCCGTAAAATTTTTGCTTATGTTTGAAACACTCTATTTACCATAAATGTGCTGGAAAGTAAAACCTAACATTTCCTGTAGAAAGTACAGAAAAATCCTCGAAATTTCTGCGAAATTTAGGTGATGTCAAAGCATTGTATGAGTTGATTTTGCTGCTAGAGTGGGTTATAAAAAATCATCAGTCGGATCAGATTAGCGCTGTTATTTTATGTAAAGCATACTCATCCATCGGTATTACAACTCGAGTACAGAGACTTATTCGAGGATTAGATATAAAGTATATTCAAAAAGATACTTTGGGTGAGTTGCTCTCTTTCATATTCATAATCTTTGTTTTATCAACAAAAGTGCTAATAAAAGACTATGGAGAGTGTTTTTGCTAAAGAATTTTCCTGAGCGTGAATAAAAATTATCAGTAATTCATATTTATAACAGTTTTCTTAGGTTATCT